TTTTTTTTTTTTTTCCTCCGGTACCGGGAACCGAACTCACGACCTTGCGCTTGCCAGGCAGGCGCTTTGCCGCTGAGCTAAATCCCCAGCCCTCTGCAGTGGTTTTCATCATGAAAGAATCTAGGGTTTTTTTAAAGGCCTTTTACGTGTTTATTGAGATGATCCTGTGATTTTTGTCCTTGCTTCTGTTTATGTGCTATATTACATTTATTGATTGTCATATTTTGAACCATTTTTACATTCCTGGGATGAGGCCACCTTGGTCATAATGTATGATTTTAATGATTTCTTGCATTCTGTTTGCCAGTATCTTGTTGAGGATTTTGCATCTTTTCATTGAAGAGACTGACCTGTAGTTCTGTTTTTCTTTAGTTGGGTCTTTGTTCGAATTTGAATCAGGGTAATGCCACCTTCCAGGAATGAGTTTGAAACTACTTCATTCCTTTCAGTTTCATTAAAAATTTTTGAGGAGTATTGGCATTATAGCTTCCTTGAAATTCTTATTGAATTTAGTGGTGAATCCATTAAGCCCTGGGCTTTTCCTAGTTGGTAGTTTTTTTTTATTATTATTGCTTCTTCAATTTTAATGCCTGGTATTGTTCATGATTTTTATATCTTCTTGGTTCACTTTTGGTAATTTATAAGTGTTTAAAAATGTGTCCACTTCCTCAAGACTCTTAAATTTGTTGAAGTACAATTTTTCATAGTAGTTACTAGATCTTCTGAAGTTTTCCAGTGCCTATTTTAATTTCACCTTTTGATTTTTACTTGTATTTTAGTTGTTGTTTTTGTTTTTTGTTTTTCTTCCGGTACCAGGAATCAAACTCACGACTTTGCGCTTGCCAGGTAGGCACTTTGCCGCTGAGCTAAATCCCCAGCCCCCTTTACTTGTATTTTAATGGGTCTTTTTTTTTTTTTTTTTTTTTTTTTGGGTCTGTTTGGCTAAGGGTTTGTCTATTTTATTTATTTTTTTCAAAGAACCAGCTCTGTGAATCATTCATTCTTTGTACTTTTCTTTCTTGATTTCACTAACCTATGCTCCAATCTTTATAACTTCTTTCCTTTACTAGGTTTGGATTTGACCTGTTGTTTTTCTCGGATCTTGTGGTATATCATTAGGTTATTTATTTAGCTGACTGTGTGTTTCTAGTGTGAGCATTCACCACAAAAAAAAGTCCCTCTTAGGACTGCTTTCATTGTGTCCCAGAGATTCTGGTATGTCATAGTGGCATTATCATTTGATTTTAGGAATTGTTAATTTCTTCCTTGAATTTTTTTGGGGGTGGTTATTGAGACAGGGTCTCACTTTGTAGGGCAGGCTGGCCTTGAACGGACTATGTGGCCCAGGCTGCCTCAAACTCATGGCGATCCTCCTGCCTCAGCCTGCCAAGTGCTGGAATTGCAGATGTGCACCACCATGCGTGTCTTACCTCATTTTTTATGAGCAGATTAAGGCTATGACTTTCAGGGGGAAATACCACGAAAGTGATGTGCCCTCACCAGTGCACCGTATCAGGGAATACGTGATGATGCTGTGTTCTCAGGCTGGTGATACCAGTCTTGATTGTTTGGTCAAGTTGGTGTCTGCCTGGTAAACCACTGTAAAGTTACTGTTTTTCCCTTTACAATTTTAGTTTTTTACTAGGAATTGAAATCAGGACCTTGCTCTTGCCAGGCAGGCAGTGTGTCACTGAGCTATTTCCCTGCCCTTCCCTTTATAATTAATAGGTGTCCTGGGGGAGATAGTTTGAATCTATGCAGGTATACCCCTTCTACCATACTTTTTAAAAAAAATTTTTTGTTTGTTTGTTTGTTTTTTTTCTGGTACCGGGAATCAAACACATGACCTTGTGCTTGCCAGGCAGGCGCTGTGCCGCTGAGCTAAATCCCCAGCCCCGCTTCTACCTATACTTTTGCCCACTATTTTGACATTTGTTACTGGGTCTTGCCTGCAACAATTATATATGCAGTATTCTTTTGGTGATTTTGTATTTCTGTCATTTCTTCTACATTTGTATTTTTAATTTTAATTTTAATCTCTGTGTTTTTTGACACATGGTCTCTCTAGGTAGCTAGGCTAGCCTTGAACTCAGTCTGTGGTGCAGGCTGGCTTTGAATTCCTGGCAAACCTGAGCCTCCCCGCTGCTGGGATTATAGGCGCGCATCGCCACACCTCGTCCTTCTACAGTTATTAATAGAGATTTTTCTGAAAAGGAGCTATTTCTCTTCCTTTGCTAATTTAGTTATGTATTTATATCAATATAGACTTACTTTATTTTATTATTTATATCGTATTGCTGTTACTGATTTTGTTGGTCAGAGTTTTCTACCCTTAGCAATGGGATATTTTTCCTCTCGGCTCTTGTGGACTTTTCTTTGTAGGAGTCATTCAATTTTTTATTTTATTTTATTTTTTACTATTTATTACTATTACTATATTTTACTATTTATTTATTATTGTTGTTAATCTCTGCCTAATTTTTTATGTCATCAGACTTTATCATTTGTATATATTTATAGGCCCCAAATTGCACAGCGTTTAGCTGGGTGTGTTGGTACATCCCAGTAGTTTTTTTCAGTTTTCATTTTTTATTTTTTGTGGTACTGGTAATTGAACTCTGGACCCTTCGGAAGCTAAGCAGGGTCGGGCCTGGTTAGTACTCAAAGGAAATGAACTCTGGACCTTGACACTGAACTACATCCCCAGCCCTTTTACAGTTTTTCTATTTTGAGAAAGTGTTGGGCACACTTGCCAAGTTGGCCAGGCTGGATTCAAACCTCTGATCTTTCTTCCTCAGCTTCCCAGAGTCTGGGATTACAGATGTGTGTGGACATGCCCAGGTGTCCTGTGCAGTTCTGAATATTTATGTCTTTTTATTTTTTGGTGTTCTTACTTACTTTCTAGCATTAGGGTATTTCCTGGGGTGAGCGGATGCTTATCTTGTATTTTCTTGTTCCAGCTTTAGACTCAGCCGCTTTTCTAAGGAGCCTTGTTCTTTTCATTGAAAGCCAATAGGGTGTCATTGTTTCTAGGCATTCTCAACAGACAGGACTAGAAGAATATAACACACACACACACACACACACACACACACACACACACACTCACGCACTCACACACTCACGCACTCACACACACTAACGTCGGGGTACCATATCTGTATTATTTCTCTGTCTTCCTAACTGTGTATGCATTACTACCGCATGGTTTTCATACTGATACTTCTTATCCTAGTCCAACACCAGAAAGCTTATTCTAGCTTTACCATCTTTCCGTATTTTTAAGTTTTTTTCTCTTATTAAATGAAATATATTTACTTGTTCAGCCATAATATATACAAAGTTTTACCAGTGTACTTAAGAAATGTGGGATTTCTTACAGAATTAGCAGATTAAATCATTGGTAGTAGTTTATGATACTACTTTTTCTTTCAAGCCTGTTAGTGGAAGTAAGTTCCTGAAAGGATAAGAACTTCGATGGACAGAGAGACAAGACACTTGGTGCGTTTTGAGTTTTTAAGCATTTAAAAATATTTTTGAAACAATACTTTTAAAAATGAAGATATAAAGAAATTCAATTGAACAAAAAGACCACCCAGATACAACTAGAATTAAAATTAACATTTTACTGCATAGCTTTCTAGTTGATCTTTTTTTTTGATACTCACGATTGAACCCTGGGCCTTCACACTGAGTTACATTCTCAGCTCTTTGTAAATTTTTTATTTTGAGAGGATCTTGCTAAGTTGCCTGAGTGGGCATGAACTTGCCATATTCCTTTTTGTTGCTTCCTTGTTTTTTCTGAGTCAAGGTTTAGCTATGTAATTTAGGCTGGTTTTGAACTCACTGTGTAGCCCAGATTGTCCTTGTACTCATGATGATCCTCCCGCCTCACAGATTTTTAAACTATTTTTACTATATTTAAACTATTTCACTATATTTATTTTTGCTATATTTTACTATTTAAACTATTTTAAATTATAAATCCCTCACAGTATTGGGATTATACATTTGTGCAAGTAAGTCTGTGTCTATCTCTAATAAAAAAATTACAAAATAGAGCCTTAGAACTCTTTTTGTGTGTGTGTTTTTGAGACAGGGTCTCACTATGCAGTTCAGGCTGGCCTTGAGCTCACTTTGTAGTCCAGGCTGGTCTCGAACTCGCAACGATCCTCCTGCCTCAGCCTCCCGAGTGCTGGGATTACAGGGGTGCACCACCACACCCGGCCTTATAATTCTTTTGTATTTTAGTTGACTACATATCATGAAGTCAAATTTATTTAAAGCATTGCCCAAAGAATGTTTATTGGGTACTTAACATATAATTGGACAGTATGCCAGATATTTGTACTAGGGAATGCCAATTAAGAATTCTCACCAGCTAGTTGGGCATGGTGGCACATGCCTTTAATCCCAGCACTCAGGAGGCTGAGGCAGGAGGATCGTTGTGAGTTAGAGACCAGCCTGGGCTACAAAGTGAGCTCAAGGACAGTCTGAACTGCGTAGCAAGACCCTGTTTCAAAAAGACAAAAAAAAAAAAAATCTCACCAGCTATTCTTAATAGCTACATCTAACTCATTATGGACACGTATTACAGTTAACTTAACCATTGTCTTATAATTGTCCTTTTGATCTTTTTTCAGTTTTAAATTGTAAACAACACTTGCTGATTCTTGTATAAGAATTACAAGTTTTATGGAATCATTAATAGTTTAAAAATCTTTGTTGATTGTATGCAGTTGAAACCATAATTAAAATTTGTCTGAAGGACTAGGGGTATAGCTTAGTGGTAGAACATATGTTTTCCATGCATGAGGCTCTGGGTTCAATCCTTGCCACCTAGAATAAAATAAAAGTCTTACACACACACACAAATATGTGTCTGTCTGTATATATGTAGTTTTGAAACAGGGTCTCTCTATGTAGTCCAGACTGGCCTTGTACTCACTGTGTAGCCCAGGATGGCCTTGAACTCACACTGATCTTCCTAGCTCAGCCTCTCAAGTGCTGGAATTATAGGCATGCGCCACCATGCCTGGCAGTTTACATAATTTTTAATGAGTTACTCACTAAGAAAAGAGTGAGTGTGGGAAAAGTTGGCAGTAGAATAGTTGAACCTAGTCAGATGTGGTGGCATATATCTGTAATGGAGAGGCTGAGGCAGGAGGCTCCCCATGAGTTTGTGGCTAGCCTGGGCTACATAGTGAGCTCAGGACCACATAGTGAACTACATAGTGAGACCTTTTCTCAGGAAACAAAAACAGGTTAGTTTATATCATGTCCAGGTACAAATTCCCTATACTGAATGTGATCATTATTTATACCTAAAATGTACCTTAATAAAAACAAAAACAAAACAAAACAAAACAAAAAAGGATAGTTGAACCTGAGATTTATTTGCTCTGTATACATAATGCTGAAATGAAAAATCCAGATCTGCAGTAACAAATTCTGGTTACTAATACCACAGAACTGCAGCAGAGGTTTTTCTGGAGATCTACATGTGTTTTACTCTTTCCTTTAATAATGGCATGGTGGCCGGGTGTGGTGATGCATGCCTATTTTCCCAGCATTTGGGAGGTTGAGGCAGGAGGGTCAACATGCGTTCAGGGCCTACCTGGACCATGTAGTGAGTTCGAGACCCAGCCTGCACTACAAAGTGAGACCCTATCTCTTTTTTTTGGTCCCGAGGATTGAACTCAGGACCTTGCGCTTACCAAGCGGGCGCTGTGCCACTGAGCTGTATTCCCGGCCTGAGACCCTATCTCAGCCTCCCCCCAGAAATCCAAAAAACCCAAATGAGGCAAATGATTGATTCAGAGATAATATTATGTTGTGCAGATCAAGAATTATAAAGATATGTCATTTAATACAGAATAGTTAAAAACAATTAAGTTACTGGTACCAGTATTCTTTTTAATTTTATTTTGTTCTTCTGACCTAAATTTGCTTTTTATAGAAGTAATTTTATTGATTGTTACTGGTTAGAGTTAACACAGTGTTTTTGGGAAGAGGTGGTACCAGGACCTTATGTACACTGCGCAGGTGTTAACTGCTAAGCTGTACCCTGCCTGCCCAAGTATGTCTTGCGTGTTCGCTTTGTAGGCAGAACTTCAGGCTTACCCATAATTCATAATTATTTTAGGCTAAAAGATAGTTCAGTTTTTAAAAAATGATCTCAAACTCGTGGTTAAAATCCATGCCTTCGTTTATTGAGCTTATCGTAAGCCACATACTTTGGAAATATGAAAGTAAGTCTGGACCCCTGTCTTTAAGGAACTCCATGGTATGTGTAATATAAGTGATATAAATATGCCAAGTACTAACACCCCGAGAAAGGGATATTTTTGTGTGAAGGTGATGCTTATGTGGATGAGAGTAACTTCAAGATGGTCTGGCGTACTTCGTAAGGGAGAAGTAGGAGGAAGGGCATTCTGGGTAAGGCCATCCTTGAACAGCGTGTCCAAAGATCTAGAGATGTAATGACCCATCTAAAGGTGCTTTGGTACCTACACAGAGTTGTAGGTTGATGTGGAAGCGTCCAAAACGTAAAAAATTTTGTCTGTAAACAGTAGGTGCCATTGTTGCATTCTGAGCATTGTGGCCGTAATTAGATTATACAGTAGAGAACGCTGTAGCTTACATTTGAAAGACTAGAAGAGGAAGAGGTCAGAAGCAAGAAATAGATAAGAAACTGTTTTTATTGTTCATGTACCTACCTTTTTCTCAGTGAGAGTTTTTAAAATCAAATTATATTTAATTGCCTATAAATTAAACACCGAATTTAAAACTTTAAAACTATTAGTAAAATATTAACCCAGGGTTAATGTAATGTAATGGTTCTGCTAGCTGATTAAATTCTTATGTGCATTTTAATTTCTCATCACGGATTATTTTCTCGTCCTAGTTTCAGATAAGAAAGATGTTAAATGTAAAACCAGAGGATGTTCATGTTCAGTTACCACTGTCCCAATTCGGAGGCTCGGAACACTGGGATCTCCCTCTGCAGGGGGTAAATAAATTTCTTTTCAGTATATAGTTTTACTTGGCAGTTTTAAAATATTTTAGTAAAATGAATTTTAATTTTCTTACGTGTCTTTTTTGAATTGTTTAATTGCAGATTTTAACTTAGTTTATTTTAGAATGTTGAAGTAAAGCTTTGAGACTAGGGTTGTCTTCAGTTTAAATCTAAATATACCTATTGTGCATGCTTGATTTTTTTTCATGAAATTTAAATCTCATTATTATAAATTATATTTCAGGGTTTAAAAGTGTAAGCTTAGAAGAGTCATTTGTGCTTTTGTTCTTTACCTATATTAAGTTTGGGAAAGTATCTCAATGTATGCTATAACTGTATTTCAGAAGATATTTTGATTATAAATGTGAACCATAATATGACCACTATTGGGTATTATTCTAGGGCGCTGATGAGTAAGACTTACTTACAGTAGCTTTTTAACATGGCACTTTATTTTCTCTTGCCTGGAGCAGCTGCTGGGCTTTTTTTTTTTGAGACAGGGTCTTGTTGTGCAGGCGGTGCTGGCTTTGAACTTGACCTGCAGCTCAGGCTCTGCCTCTTGAGCTCTCCATTTACAGGTGTGTGCCGCTGTATCTGGCTCTGGTCAATTTGATTTTTTGGGGGAGGGGGCTACTGAGACAGGGTCTTACTATGTTGTTCAGGCTAGCTTTGAAATCACTATAGCCCAGCCCGGCCTCAAACTTGTGATTCCGCCTGCCTCAGCCTCCTGAGTGCTGGGATGACAGGTGTACACCATCATGCCCAGCTACTCTGGTCAATTTTAAAAGAGAAAATTTCTCAGAAATTTCCAGTTTATTTATTTGTAGCTGTATTAGTTTGCCAGGGCTGCCATAACAAAATTCCAGACTGGGTGGCATTTACAAGAAGTTATTTTCTCATGGTTCTGGAATCTGGAAGTTCAAAATAAACGTGGTGGCAGGGTTGGCTCTCCCTGCGCCCTTTGTCACTGGCTTGGAGATGACTGTCATTTTGCCGCGTCCTCACTTGGCCTTCTGTCTGTGTGAGTGCATCCGTGGTGTGCGTTTTCTTCTCGTGAGCACCCCAGTTTAACTAAAAAGTTACATTGATGAGGACGTCAGTTTAGCTTTATTACCTCTTCTTTGCTTTTTTCTAGTACTGGGGACTAAACCCAGGGTCTTCACATTGAGCTACAGCCCCACTTCTTTCTTTCTCAGTTTTACGTTTTGACGCTGGGTCTCACTAAGGCACTGCGTTGCCCGGGCGAGGCCCAGACTTGTCGTCTTCTGTCTCAGCCTCTCAGTGTGCTGCCACACCTGGCTCTTAATTACCTTTTTGTTTGTTTATTTTTGTTTTTTGGTATTTTTGTTTTTGTTTTCTCTTTTTTTGAGACAAGGTCTTGTTATGTAGTCCAAGTTGGCCTTGACCTCACTGTGTATCCCAGGCCGGCCTTGAACTCGTGGAAGTCCTCCTCCCTCAGCCTCGTAAGTGCTGGGACTATAGGTGTGTGCCACTATGCCTGGCTGTTTCTGTTTTTTTTTTTTTTTTCTCCAGTACCAGGAATCGAACTCATGACCTCGCACTTGCCAGGCAGGCGCTGTGCCACTGAGCTAAATCCCCAGCCCCTGTTTCTGTTTTTTTGAGTCAGAGTCGTGCTGTGTAATTCAGGGAGGCCTTGAACTCACTGTGTAGCCCTGACTGGCCAGAATCTTCTTTTATTTTTATTTTTTGATTGTGTGTGTGTGTGGGGGGGTACTGGGGATTGAACCTAGGGCCTTTGCACTGAGCTACTTTCCCAGCCCATATAATTTTAAATTTTGAGCCCTGTGTGGTGGCGCACGCCTGTAGTGCCAGCACTCTTGGGAGGCTGAAGCAGGAGGATCTTTGCAAGTTCGAGACCAGCCTGGACTACAAAGTGAGCTCAAGGCTAGGTTGAACTGTACAGCAAGAGCCTGTCTTAAAAAGACAAAAACAAAAGCAAAAACAATTTTAAATTTTGAGACAGGGTCTCAGTAATTTGCCCCAGTTTGGGCTCAAACTTGTGATCTTCTTGCCTCAGCTGTCCAGAGTACTAGGTTGACAGGTGTTTGCCACGGTGCTCATCCTGGGAATTTGAGTATTAATTCTTTTGTTTGTTTTCTAAGAAAGGGTCTTGCTACGTAGCCCAAGCTGACCGTGAGGTTGCTGTGTAGCCCAGGCTGGCCTCAAATTTTCACCCTTCCTGCCTCAGTCTCCTTAGTGCTGGGATCACAGATGTGCACTCACACACCTTCCGTAGGCTTTTAAATTGTAGTTAATACTGCCAAACTGTCTCAGAGAACCTGCGCACCTGTTCATGTTGCTGTCAGTGAGGGCTCCCATCTCTTCACAAAATAACCAGTAAAATGGTTGCCAATTTGATAGGAAAAATATATACATTTTTAAGAGAATTTTACTTTCACTTTGTAATCATATATTTTATTTCAGTTTTCAGGGTATGGAATGTATTGTGGGGCAAAGAGTTACATGTGTATGCACACTGCCTATGAGGATAGATCCTTTTTGCTTTTAAAATCGATATCTCCCTAAATGTGTTTTTTCCTTTACCCTTGGGACATACGTATGTTTTCTAGTTTTTAGCCTTTCAGAGGCTCAAGAGAGCTCTTTCGGCATTGACGCACGGTGCGGTAATCTGCTGTCTTCTGTCTCCTTACCTCCTCTTCATTTCACCAGTTGCTTTTTTCCTGAGAGGCTGGCAGTTAATTTTCTCTATTTCACTTTCACCCACGGAATGAAACAAAGCTCATTCAGATACTTTTCTTTCCCTGTGAGTAGTTTGCTCCCCACTTGGATAGCTTTCTCAGAGCAGGATTACTTCGTGGTGTCTGCGTCCTGCTTGTGACTGGAAATGGTGCTTGTCAGCTTGGTGCTGCCTTGTGGCTTCAGGGTTCATAATACTTGCGAAGTGGGCTTCGTGATTTGTAGAGTTTGAGGCTATGCCAGTATTTTGCTACTTAGCTTTTATGTTGCTGTTCTGAGTGGCTTGCAGGGGAAGAAAGGAAACACTTGCCCCTTCCATAAACTTCAGCAGAATTTTAACTCACTAATTTACGTATTTGCGAGTGCGCATGCGTGGTACTGAGGGTGCATCCAGGGCCTTCACACTGAGCAGCGTCCAGTCTGTTGTATTTTGAGCTGGTCTTGCGAAGTGGCTAAGTTGCCCAGGCTGTGCTCAAGCCTGTGGTCTTAGTCCTGGGGTGACAGATGTGTGCCACCACGTGCAGCTTTGTGATTTTTATTGAGATGTGATTTTATTAAACAGGCTTTACCTTGTTAGGTGTGTAATTGGATAATCTTTGGTTAGACATAGAGGATTGTTATAACCCTACAAAATTTCCTGTATCTCTTTCCATTTTATCTTTTCCTCACCCATTTTCCACACCTCCAACCTGCTTATCAAAACTAATCTTCTGATTTCTGTTTCTATAAAGTAGTTTTACCTGTTTTTGAACTTAATAAAAATGAAATCGTTCAATATGTACACTATGTGTTTGGCTTCTTTTCAGTATAATGTTGACATTTATCTGTGTTCCTTTTTATTGTTTTATAGTATTTCATAATATGAATATATCACAGTTTGTTGATTTTTCTGATGGTGGGTTTTGGCTTTGGTTTAATTTTAATTTTCAGTGTTTTCTTTTTCTGTTTTTTTGTTTTTTTTTTACATTTTAAAAAAATTATTTTAAAAGTAAAAGAAGGAAAATGTATTAACAAACAGACAGCCATTTACAAAATAGCATAAGAACAATACAAACAATACAGAGTTACAGACAAAGTGGTAGGAAATTAACAATGGTTGTTGTATTACGTATTGATATCTTCAAAGTGATTTCTCAGGAAAACAAATAGAGACATGCAGTATTGATGAAAAAGTAATCATTAACTGTTCCTTTCAGTAAAACAATAGAAGTCAGTAGTACAACTATGTTAGCTATCCTGTATATACATACATACATACATACATACATAATTTCCCCTTCTTTCCCTTCTCTTTTCCCACACCCCAGTTGCCCTTTACTTTTGAGCATTTTCCTTTTGTTTCACAATGTCTATCATATCTCCTAGTTTTTTGTTTTTGTTTTTGTTTTTTTTTTTGCTTTTTTTCCAGTACCAGGAATCGAACTCATGACCTTGCATTTGCCAGGCAGGCGCTGTGCCTCTGAGCTAAATACCCAGCCCCCCTCCTAGTTTTTATGCAGTCGTTCAGGTGCTTACACTGTTGAGACAATACGTTGCTTACACATGCAGGTCTGATTTACTTCACTTACGAATATGGTCTCTAATTATGATCATTTACCTATAAAAGCCTTGTTTGCCTTTCTTTTTAGCTGAGTAATATTGCATTATATAAAAGTATCACAAATTGCTCAGCTATGAATATGGATGCACATATATCGCTGTGATATGATGTTTTCAGATCTTCTGGAAAAATACCCAGAAGGGGAATAGCTGGGTTGAATGCGACCTCTAGACCTAGTTTGCTGAGGAATCTCCAAACTGATTTCCACAGTGGCTTCACCAGTCTGCAATCCCACCAGCAGTGAAGAAGAGTTCCTATTTCTCCACAGCCTCACCAGCATTTGTTACTGGTTGATTTCTTAATGCTAGCCATTCTTACTGGGGAGAGATGAAATCTCAGTGTTGTTTTAATTTGGGTTTCTTGAATGACTAATGATGTTGAACATTGTCTCATGTATTTATTTGCCATTGGTATTTCTTCATCTGAGAAGTGTATATTCATCTCAGCTGCCTATTTTTAGATTGGGTCTTTGAATAGGGGGGACTGATTTTTTTTTAATTCTTTGTATATTCTAAATAGAAGATGTTTGTCCGAGGGACAGTCAGCTAAAATTTTTTCCAATTTGTGGGTTTTCTTTTTACTCTGCT